GGAAAGAAATGAAAACTAATTCTTAGATAATTAAGGTCTCGGAATAAGTAAGCAAACGAAGGATTTGTGAACGCAATGAGTATAGCATTCATTGAAATATCATTTATCTAAAGGACTTAATAAAAAAGTTATGTTAAAAATATGCGGCGAACCGACGAAAGGGAGCGAAAGAAAGCAACAAAAACAAAAATCAAACAAAAAGACTGCACCGAAACTGCATTACCTTTGAGTGATTGTTGTGTTTTACCCAAAACAAGTTGATTGTGTCGTTTCTGGAGGTATACCAACACTTCTCCCAACTGATAGGCGCCCACAGAGAAAGCGTGAAATATTAATGTCGGATACTTTGATTCGTTCACTTTGAGAAAGTCGACGATATTCTGGGCCACGATATGACTGCCACGGCTTGGGATCAAAAAGTCCAACACTTGTATCTTCACTGTCAACACATCGAACCCTTTCTCTATATATAGTTTGCGGTATTTATCTAAATGTCTTTCTTTGGCGTTTTCGGTGCGTTTGTCGTGGTCTTCACCGGCAAAGACTAGGAATAGGTGTTATAATGTACTTATTTTGCAGTCCAAAACTGAATTGCCGTTGAAAGGCAGAGCTCCGCCGACAACACAACTGGTTAAAATTATAATTAGTTTTTATTTATATCATTTGCATTGAGGTAACTATTATTCTCAATAGTGAACTAACTTATAAAAGATTAGTTAAATTTTTAATGTAAAAAACAAAATTATAAATTATGTGAGAGAATAACATTGAAATTTGTTGAATATCTGATGGGGTCTCGAGTTTTATTTAAAATTATAATAAAATTACTTTTAATACAATTACTGTTAGATAATTTAGTCTGGTTTCAAATTATAAGTTTCAAATATTTAAATATAATCGTGATTGAATAGTCCGACAAGTCAATATAGAGGCATTATAAATGTTGCATATATGTGTAAATTTAGTAAAGGCTTAAAAATATAATTGTAATGATAATAATCATTATTTAATAACATTAAAAGCCACGCAAACAGCACCAGAAGTGGCCGTTTCTGATCCTTATCCACAATATTACATGAATAAAACGTCAGGTTTTGACTTAACGGCAACTTTCCGTCTCGAGGCGGCTGTTGTGTTGACCAATTAATTATAATTAGTTGTTATTTATATGATTTGCATTGAGGTAACTATTATTCTCAATAGTGAACTAACTTATAAAAGATTAGTTAAATTTTTAATTTAAAAAACAAAAATTATAAATAATGTGAGAGAACAACATTGAAATTTGTTAAATATCTGATGGGGTCTCGAATTTTATTTAAAATTATAATAAAATTACTTTTAGTACAATTACTGTCAGATAATTTAGTCTGGTTTTAAATTTTAAGTTTTAAATATTATTTATATTAGCACTAACTTATCAGGCTGTTCAGTTATATCTCCGTAATATTTACAACGTATATACACATTTAAATCATTTCCGAATTTTTATATTAACATTACTATTATTAGTAATAAATTATTGTAATTAGTGTTATTTTAATAATGATAATATTTTTTACCTTTTTTATTTTATTCTAAATCCTGTATCTAGTGTTTTACAAACTATTATTCAATCCTTCCTGACATTAAATGGAGAACTCAAACAAAAGTAAACCAATAATTTGTTTATATTTATATAATTATGAATTTATAAATAAAAATAAATTTAAAATTATAAAATTTACTAAATTTAGGTTATTATAAATTAAATAAATATATTTTGAATTAATATTAATTTGGGAAATGAATAAAAATGAATTAAAGATATGGTTATATGTCAGAAATTATTTAATAATATAAATCACAAATTAATTAAATGTAAGATTTAATATATAACTATTTATAAAAATATATAACTATAAAAACAGTATTAAATACAAAGTATTAAAATACTTACTTCGATGTGATGTTGAAAACTCGAGTAACTATTTGACAATTTAAAGGATTTGCGATTTATAGTCCTGTAATGATATGTGGAATAAAATAAGTTTTTCTTTAATATTATTGAAATATTCAATAATTTTGAAGCCATTTATTAAAAGTTTAAATGTATTTCCAATAAATTAACAATATTTGTAACAAATAATCTCAAAATTGTTATATTAGAGAAAATATTAAGATTGTGTTAAAAATAGATCCGTTTTCCGAAACCTTTACTTTCACTGCATTTCTCGAAACATTTTTTGAATAAATTTTATGGTGTTTTTTAAAACAACATTTGGACTAAATTTTTATCCGAAAAACTAAAGGAAATGAAAGTTTATTTTTTATGCCATATTTCTAGACATTCACTCATATCATAGATACATAAGTCATTGAGACTGCAAATAGTGTTCACAACAGATCCGGCGATTAATTATATCTAAATTATTTTTACAAATTATAAATACCAAACATTTAAACCACTATTTAATGTCTACTTATTATAAAATTGTTTACAATATTAAAAATTATAAATTATTACAATATTGGTTAAGTTTAGACTCTAAACTTCAGAGTAGAGATTATCGATGTATAGATAGGAACTAAAAATTAAAATAATGTTTTTTCATACCTTCGGTGATAAATTAAAAACACTGAAAACACACACGAAATGATGATAAATATGATTGAATCCATTGATGTAAAAGCAGTGCTTTTGTGTCGCTAATAATGGACCAAAACTTAAATATCAAAATTTAAACTAATTATTTACAAAATTTAATTTCACATAAAAAGACTTTCATATCAGTCTTTTGACTGTAAACTGGTTCTCAAAAAAGCATTTTATACATTAAAACACACGGACTGTGCATATATACAGTGCACTACGGCATTGGTATTAAGCACTGGTCTTATTATGAATGGTATAGGAATAGCCAAACAGATGAACAGATTCTTGAGCTTCAATGATATCCACTATTAAACTTCAATGATATTCAATATATTAATTAATAATTTGTATTAGAAATTAACAAAATTGTTAATTAACAATGTTATAGCAAAACTCGCGTTCAAAACTACTTTCTTGTAAAATATAAAATACAATTTTGAAACATATATAAAACCAATGATTACATGGAAGTTATAAATAGGATAAATTTTATATACAGGTAACTATGAAATGGCATACAAAGTATTTTTTCATTACAGAACTAGTTTTGTGAACTTCAGGCTATTTTTGATGTCAAAACAATCATTTATGTTATATAACACGTTAGGTAAGGGAGAGAACAGGTGAGCGAATGCGAGAGAGAGAGAGAGAGAGAAAAAAAAGTCAATTAGTGGACCAGTTTTTCGCTTGAGATGTCATTCACTATAACTTATAACTATTTAATGATTTCATCACAAAACCAGAGTTATTAATCAAATCAAAATGCAAAAATCCCTTTTCCCAATTGAAAGAAAATCTATGTTAGAAGACTAGTCAAGCCTTTAGCTCAAGCGAAAAACTGGTCCACTAATTGACTTTTTTTTCTCTCTTTCCAAATACACAGAAACACATATAACGGTAAAAAATTTCCTATCATAAGTCGAGTCCCAGTCCTATACCTGTTCCGAGTCTCATATGTTTTAATCATTTACTAGTTTTACGTTTGAATTTCTATTTATAGTATTAACTCAACGAGAAATGGATTCAACAAAAAATTTCAATACACGTTATAATTGAATGTATTCTAGATTTTATAGCATTAAATGTCTTTAATTCACTCAACATTTATATGTTTTGAGAAATATAAATGATCACAGAAACACATATAACGGTAAAAAATTTCCTATCATAAGTCGAGTCCCAGTCCTATACCTGTTCCGAGTCTCATATGTTTTAATCATTTACTAGTTTTACGTTTGAATTTCTATTTATAGTATTACACTCAAATTCATTTGCTTTTAGTTTATGATCAAATGATTTTTACGAACGCGAGCTTTCGGTCAAATCATTTTTACGTTCAGTCAATTCATTATTACATGAGTCAGAGTTGTGTGGAATGCATGCAGTCATTGCACAGACTGTACAGTCAGTGTCTACGCGTTACGCTATATGTGTAATAATGAATTGACTGAACGTAAAAATGATTTGACCGAAAGCTCGCGTTCGTAAAAATCATTTGATCATAAACTAAAAGCAAATGAATTTGAGTGTAACTCAACGAGAAATGGATTCAACAAAAAATTTCAATACACGTTATAATTGAATGTATTCTAGATTTTATAGCATTAAATGTCTTTAATTCACTCAACATTTATATGTTTTGAGAAATATAAATGAATTACAAACCCATTTGAAAGCTCAATCATTTGAAACAATGATTTTATGCATTTTGATTTGATTAATAACTCTGGTTTTGTGATGAAATCATTAAACAGTTATAAGTTATAGTGAATAACATCTCGCAAAATACAATACTAACACAATAGGAGAAAATGTGTGTTATTTAGTACTCATGTTTGGCTATGAATTGATCGCAAACACCATTCAAATCCATTATTAACACAAATAATATTTATAATGAACAGAATTTGTGTCGAAATATTTATTTTTAAATACAATTGTTTGCGAAAAATAAGAAATTGATTGAAGAAACTTTTCGCTTGTATTCATATGCAAATCATTTTGATTTCTTTGAAAATTTATTTTTAATTAATTTTCATTTTATTTGTTTAAAATCCAGTTTTGGACGAATACTATGCATAATAATTATGAACTTTTTAAAAAATTAACTCGTTTTATCAGTACATTATTAATTTAAGAGCTCAATGAATACATGGCAATATTGCATACGTGATGATAAACTTATTGATTATATTGATTATTGTATTTTAAATTGACTGATAAACTGATTTCATGGCTGTCTCTGACCAGAGATTAATAGACCGAAAGGTATAAACTAATTATGAAAAATAACGGAAAGTAATTATATTTTGATTGAAAGCAGTGGAGAAAGTGAACACAATTTAAGCCATTTTTGAACAATTATGTTGTTTTCGGATTCATTTTTTATTCTCAAAGCTGTGGTTAAATAATAGCGATACAAATACTAATTTATAAATATAATAATAATATATGTGTTTATATTACTATTATTACAGTATTTCCTCAATTATTTCCTCAATTTTTCAGTCCTGTTGTATGTAATGGTCGTAAAACTAACACAACATTTGATTGCTCTCATAGTTATATGCATTCTCTTTGATTCAGTTATATGTGAGTCTATTTAATATTATTATCGTTATTATTATTATTATTACTGTATATGAAAAAAGACTTTATTTAGACATTAATTAGAGAAAAATGAGGAACAAAACTGAAATAAAAACAAAATGAATGCTTTTCTCTTTTCTATCTTTTTTCTCTCTCTTCTAACCATTAAATGATTAAAAATAAAAAACCATTTTATTGTTTGAGCCGTAATAAGTGTAGACTCTGGCGGCTGTGAATGGCCTAAACTGCCACTACTTTTACTTTTCTTACGATTATTATTGTCTGCAAAAACCAAATTTAGGTCAGAAGAGGAAAGACGATCGAAGACGAGCTAAGCCTAAGCCCCGGCCGAGAGGGAGAGGCAAACAAGCGGTGCCCGAAGAAAATGTGGTCCAACGAGTGAACTGTCACTTCTGTAGCGTTAGTTTTGTGACCACTAAACTGGACGTCAATAACCTATGCTATAATCCGGGCAAAAATGTGACCGCTTCTGACGCCGACTACTTGACCACGTGTTCGGCGACGAGTCGGTACTGTATGGTCGACATCACCCGTTTGGGCGGCGGTCTCATCGGCGTTGACCGCAAGTGCGGCGGCAGTACTTGTAATTACTTTTGCATTAGTAAAGGATACGGCACTGAGATCGAGACCTGCACTTTCTGTTGCCCCGGAAAACCCGTCATCGATCCCGACCTCTTGGAGGAGGGGGAGGCGCCGCCTCTCTATAAGTGCCCCGAATATTCACATGTCTAATACTTTTAATACAACAACTCATACTATGGCAGTGTATTTATTTCTATTATGGGTAATTTATGTTTTTATTTCAAACAACCTAGTCTTTAATTAGTCAAATCATTTTTCGTGAATGTAAATTTCAAACTAAAAATTTTAATTTCTGTGCCATTTATTAGGTATAAGTTATATGTATTTGAAAATATGTGTAACCGAATGCGTAAAAAAGTTTAAATTTTCCCACATTTTAATTATATATTTTTCACTGATATCACGAAATTATATTATTAATGCATATTAATTAATAACCAATTAAGTAATTAAGTCCTCATTTTATGAGAAATCACAATTGTTTTAATAAATAAAACGTCAAATTATTATATAATTAAAAGTTGATCCATTAAAATGATATTACATTATATACTAAAATAATTGTATTATTAAAGCCATTAAATTATTGATTTGTTTCTGTGCCTCAATTATTCACTGCATTTCCATATATTTTTAATCATTAACTCATTTCTATAAAAAAACATTTCATAATTTATTTATATATCAGTCAAACATAAATAGATTGCTCACTAAATTCATGAGAAAATGCATATATATTCAGATTATAATCTCTTAAGCGGGAAGTCATTTGGGTTTTAAAATCTAGTCATTAGATTACAATTGGTTAACATATGGTGTGATTTTAATTCACCGTAAATTGTTATGTATACTGAGCTACAATGTACCCAAAATGAAGCTAGTTAGTATATTGCATCAAGTTTAGTCTTAAATTGTAATGGTATGTGATAAAAATATTTGAAATACTTTAATTGACATACTGTTTAAGACAAACTGTATATTTATTATTAAATTTTTTATGACACTCTTATTATTGAAAGTATTAAATAATAAATATTTTCAGAAATAAATACAAGAAATGCGAAAATAAAAAAATAAATCAAGAAATGTGTCAAAGATTTTATGTTTTTCATTGAAATCGATTGAATGAGCTTTGAGTCCGAATCTATTGATTGAAAAACACATTTTTTCACTTCAAATGTTAGCTCTTTGTTGTCATTCATTAAAGTATTTGAAAACCATTTATTTGAGAGACCACTCGTTGTAATTATTGAATGAGCTTTGAGTCCGAATCTATTGATTGAAAAACACATTTTTTCACTTCAAATGTTAGCTCTTTGTTGTCATTCATTAAAGTATTTGAAAACCATTTATTTGAGAGACCACTCGTTGTAATGGATTTTATGCTAATTAGTTAAATAGAAAATTATTTTAATTATATTTACAAATTATACGATTATAAAGCATATGATTGTACAAACATTTCACTAATTTTATCAATCAATTGTAAATGAGTGCCCAAAGGGAAGCCGAGCGCCAAATAGTTGTTGATAATAGTGGTGTCCGATATGTAAAGCTTAAGATTGGGATTCCGTTTGCAATAATCATATTTTAAGACATTAAAATCGCTCATCACTTCAATCATTGCGATCCGACCCTCACTAAAGAGACTCATCCTTTCTCTCTCGTAATATTGCTCTTCACTCCTTATAATCGATATATTCTTGTTTATTAAAACCCTTTTCCATATCTTTATGTTATCCTCTGATTTATAATCCTTTGAAATAAAAATTTGTTAATTAATGTAATGTTTTAGCGCTTAGTGTGTTATAAAGTTTACTCTCAAGTATTCTTCAATAGGTGTGTGGAAGTAAACGCTGGGAATAAGTGTCTCTTCTTCTGCCAATTCACTCAATGTATTGATTAGTTTTATATCGTCTCCAGCGATGAGTTTTGAGTCAATGAATGAATTAAAATAAATCATTAAAAGTGATATACAAAACAATATTAGCGATAAAACACTTTTCAGGTGTTCTTTTATATGTGCTGTGAAATGACAAAATAATTATCAAATAATTTTTCATTATTCATCACAAATATCTTAATTTACAATTTTTTAATGGTATCCCAAATGTATTAATCAAATGCTTAAATATTGTACTAATTGTAAGAGTTTTTGCACAAACGTAGTCATAAGCGATTGCGATCGCTATTAATGCCAATTGTGTTAATAGCAGTGATATGTAAATATAGTTATCCATATGTTTAATATAATCAGTGACTTGTGATTGTATTGTGCGGTCAGTATTGGTGAGCAAAACGTACGGCTCGTACATCAGTATTGATGAAAACTTGATTGAATTTTGTCGTTTGAAAGTCAATTCCAGTGGTGTTATTGATAGTTGACATTCCTATGCATTCATTATTAAATGGGTCAACACTTTCAGAATTAGGGTTATTATAGTGCAGTATATGATAATAATACTACATTCAGTTATAGTAACATTTATTATCATTATAGTTAATTTAATTACATTTCTAGTGAGTAAACCAATCAATCCATTCCACGAGCCGTTAGCTAATTGTGTTCCGTCCGAGTCATCCGTTTTTAATGTATAACTGTTTACAATTAAAACATATATTTTATTATATTATAAAACAATTTAATGAAAACACAATAAGTTTAAAATCTTACTTTTGAATATTAAGTTTTTTAATAATTATATCAAACAGATTCACAAACACTCCATTAATCGATGCATTAATTACATTGAATTGTATGAATGGTATCCACTATTAATATAATTAAATTTAATATTTTACAATTAATATCTATTAATTTGCATACATCTGATCCACAAATTGTTATATTCATTACTATAAACAATATTATTGCTCAAATTCGTTAATATTTATAACCATGGTGATAAATAAAAATTTTAAACATTCAATTAATTTCATACATTTAGCCATTTGACATTATAAATTAGTAAATTAATTTTAATATACATTTGGAATATGCAAATACTGAAATACAGTACTGTATTAGATTTAAATAACATCAAGGGAAAATTATTTACTTTAAAGATATTAATATATTTCTAAATCAATATCGGAAATAAAACATTAGTTGATGAATAATATTTTAATTATTAAATAACCACTACTGTATGTTACAAATTATGCAAATAAATAGCAGTATAATAGTAAATATTAATTCAACTAAAAACATATTTTGATTATATTTTTATTTACATTTTGACAAATGATTTATTATATTATTAAAATATTAATACAATTTAATATTTGTGGTAAAATCTCAAAATGAATTGCATTTTTACTAGATTTTTAAATAAGTTGTTGTACTTTACATTGTATTACAATAATTGGTTTTTCTATATACATGTAACTTAAATTGATTTGTTATCAAACAGTGTTCTTAATTTAATATAAAGTTAGTGGGAATCAATCCCAATAAGTTTGTAGGGGGTCTATCAATATCATGGTCAATATCACACGATTTATAACAATCATTTTTGATTGATTTGTATTAAATATTAATTTTTATTAAAATCTTTTGTAAACAAAATACAGTATAGCTTTTCGTTAACATTAATCAATAAATTCAAATTAATTTCTGCTTTTTTAACAAATTAAACAAAACAATTTAAAAATTAATTAATAATTATATTAACATTAAAATATAGTTTATTATTACAATTCAACATATAATGTAAAATAATTTAAAACAAATACTTATTAAATGATTAGTTAATAAAGACTAGATTTAAATCACCAAAAAGTGTTAAAATCCTTTTAAAATACTTCTTTCCTGAACTGAAAGCCAAATTGACTGCAGATGTGACGCAAACTGCGGGCCAAATCGGATCGGCCGCAGAAAAACACAGTAATCCTTCCCTTCTTCTTATCGGCCATTGACTTAAAAAATCTGTGCCAATCGGGTCTTCCCTTATGCCACTTGAGACCAGTGGTCGACTCAATGTTGGGCTCCCTGTCGTCCAAAGGCATACTAACCCTTCTCTCTCGATAGCTTCCCTGAGTTATATGCATATGTGTGTCGAGGAAACGGTCCGTTTCGTGCCATTCCTCCTGTTGTTTCTCCAACTCAGACAACAGATTGACGAACCATTCAAAGCTGGTCTGATCCCTATTAATCCACATAAAGTCTACTTTCCTTAACTTCATCACATTGGGTGGTATGGGATCAGACCAACTGTGGGAACACGACGGACACCACCGCTTGGCCTCAATATAGCGGAGCATAATTGACTGCAATATACTGGCAAAAGGTGTGACACCAATGCCGGTGGCAATGAGTATAGCGTGTTGTGTGCGGAATATGTGCGAAGAGGGCGACCCATACGGACCGTCTAAACGGACTTTCAATGGTTTGTCCAGAATTATGGCATTCGTTAAGATGTTTGGTTCGTCGAGAATTGACGGTCGAGTCAGCGATTTGAACGACAATTTGCTGATCGGAGAGGCGGCCATCTCTACATCACTTCTCTTCTTCTCGTTGAGAGCCTCTTTGCCACAGCCGTACTCATTGCAGTCGACCGGCACCGGCAATACCATTACTCTCGCGTTTTTATATAGACTATCCAACGATCGCGTCGTTTGCGATGAAGTGCTGCCAAAAGCCGACAAACTCTTTACTCTTCTGATGGGAGACTCAATCGCTGACTCTTTATTTTTGTCGCCATCTGCTTCGGCCCTATACTCGCGATTTGCTTGAGATAAACATAGGCTAACTTTCGGCCAATTGAGAAGACTAGCCTTAACTGTTGCCTCCATATTAAAATAGTTATATAAACGATTAGTCCATTCGCCCACCGCTCGGATGTGTAACCAAATAACGTCTAAAAAGTTTTTATACAATAAAATTAATTGTCATTAAATAGTGGACAGACCTGACTGTTCGGGAGCGCTACTGATAGTGAGCGGATGCCATTCATATTTAGTAATGTCTGGGATCTGGACGTAGACATAGTCTCCGGGATGGAAGTAGAAATTGGGCGGACGTTTCACCACCAGTTGTATGACACGGGAGGGCAGAATCACCCCCTGCTCTATGTATGTAAGCCCCCGATCGCCCAAAAATGATTTCGTCACTCTTAACACCCACTCTATAGAGAAGACAATGAGTGGACACAAGAACCACATCCAAAAGCTGGGCGCGTGTATGAAGAGGCAGATGTAAAACGGCACGTATAAGAGGTGCGAGTAGTAAAAGACCTGTAAATAAATAAATCACTAAAATCAGCATGTGCTTAAACGGCAATTTCAAACTAGATACTCACTTCAAATTTGCCGGATCGCCGCATAAAGGGCTGCGCGGGAACCATCATCGCCACCAACAGCGCCAACAATATCCAACCGGTCAGAGAGGCGGCGCCGCCGATCCATCCGATGCCCAGATGTGTGGAGAAGAGAAAGTCGAACCACGAGATTGTGGTCACTTTGGAGAGCACTTTGAAGTTAATGACGTGCATAACGGTGTGGAAGAGGCTGTAGAAGACAACCGCCCAACCGATCAGCTTATGGTAGTAGACGTAATGGTCGAGCGGTAAGTATTCGCTAAACCCTATGGATCGCAATTTTGTGATGGATTTACGGCAAACGCATACTATAATGATAGCGCACGTGAAGTTCAGACACTGGCCATTAGCTCTGGCCAACATCACTAGCCATCCGAACGCCCGGTACTCATACGAGCGCCAAATGAATAGTACCAGGTTCATTAATAGCAATGTCAATAAAAAGGCCACACTTTGTATATTATTTCGGATGTAATTCCAGTTAAGTTTTATGAATATTGCCGTCATTTTTGGCAATCGATTTAATTGTTATCGTTATTAAAGGAAAAGATGTTATTTTTGGTGACAGTATTGAGGGGTTATTGACCGCCAGTAATCGTATTGGTGTTTAGATGTAAATTCATTTGAATAACAAAATAAATAATTGAGTTCTGAAATCAATAGTGATTTCCATTTAACTAATCAAAGACTCGTGTTATACGACATTTCATATTCAATAAACTTAACTAAAAGCTAGAGTTTAAGGATCTCTAGATTTCCCTTTTAGATACGATATCAGATATTAATAGATATACAAAATATGTATGACTTTTACACTAATATGCGATTAGAATATTCCTATATTATTACCATAAAGTATTAATGATAATAATATTAATAAATACATGTATATATTTATATGGGAAATCAGTGACGAATTGGAGCAAATGATTGCAATTAATAGTTTGCAATTCCNAAAAATTTCTTTTGCTAACATTATCAGCATTGAATGTAGTTTTCAAAAATATAATCAATTATATTAATATACAATATTTTTTTCATCTCCATAGGTTAACATGCAAAATTGGCCTAGTTTGCTAAGCTGCTATGTAAAAACCTGCAAATGAATTTTAATAATTCTTTCGTTATATAATACACCTCTTATCTCTCTATAAATCATACATTGGGACCATCTCAATATTTCTTATAGTTTGACCTGTAATATGACCATTCCGAATTGTCCCAAATTTTGTATACCACGTGACTTATATTTATAATAAAGAATGCTGCAGATGCGCAGTATATGAGGCTCTTAAATCCATTTTACAGAATTGAATTATCTCATTTAGTTAAGAAATGGCATCAATTACCGCACGGCGGGAATCACTTGACCGCCCTATTAGTTTATTATTACATTTATTACATTAAAATAACTTAAAATAAATACTTATTAAATGATTAGTTAATAAAGACTAGAATTAAATCACAAAAAAGTGTTAAAATCCTTTTAAAATACTTCTTTCCTGAACTGAAAGCCAAATTGACTGCAGATGTGACGCAAACTTCGGGCCAAATCGGATCGGCCGCAGAAAAACACAGTAATCCTTCCCTTCTTCTTGTCGGCCATTAACTTAAAAAATCTGTGCCAATCGGGTCTTCCCTTATGCCACTTGAGACCAGTGGTCGACTCGATGTTAGGCTCCCTGTCGTCCAAAGGCATACTAACCCTTCTCTCCCGATAGCTTCCCTGAGTTATATGCATATGTGTGTCGAGAAAACGGTCCGTTTCGTGCCATTCCTCCTGTTGTTTCTCCAACTCAGACAACAGATTGACAAACCATTCAAAGCTAGTCTGATCCCTATTAATCCACATAAAGTCTACTTTCCTTAACTTCATCACATTGGGTGGTATGGGATCTGACCAACTGTGGGAACACGACGGACACCACCGCTTGGCCTCAATGTACCGGAGCATAATTGACTGCAATATACTGGCAAAAGGTGTGACACCAATGCCGGTGGCAATGAGTATAGCGTGTTGTGTGCGGAATATGTGCGAAGAGGGCGACCCATACGGACCGTCCAAACGGACTTTCAATGGTTTGTCCAGAATTATGGCATTCGTTAAGATGTGTGGTTTGTCGAGAAATGACGGCCGCGTCAGCGACTGGAACGACAATTTGCTGATCGGAGAGGCGGCCATCTCTACATCATTCCTCTTCTTCTCGTTGAGGGCCTCTTTGCCACAGCCGTACTCATTGCAGTCGACCGGCACCGGCAATACCATTACTTTCGCGTTTTTATACAGACTATCCAACGATCGCGTCGTTTGCGATGAAGTGCTACCAAAAGCCGACAAACTCTTTACTCTTCTGATGGGAGACTCAATCACTGACTCCTTATTTTTGTCACCATTTGCTTCGGCCCTATACTCGCGATTTGCTTGAGACAAACATTGGCTAACTTTCGGCCAATTGACAAGACTAGCCTTAACTGTTGCCTCCATATTGAAATAGTTATACAAACGATTAGTCCATTCGCCCACCGCTCGGATATGTAGCCAAATAACATCTGAAAAGTTTTTATACAATAAAATTTTTCAAAAATAAAATAAAATTGTCATTAAATAGTGGACAGACCTGACTGTTCGGGAGCGCTACTGATGGTAAGCGGGTGCCATTCATATTTAGTAATGTCTGGGATCTGGACGTAGACATAGTCTCCGGGATGGAAGTAGAAATTGAGCGGACGTTTCACCACCAGTTGAATGACACGGGAGGGCAGAATCACCCCCTGTTCTATATATGTGAGCCCCCGATCGCCCAAAAATGATTTCGTCACTCTTAACACCCACTCTATAGAGAAGACAATGAGTGGACACAAGAACCACATCCAAAAGCTGGGCGCGTGTATGAAGAGGCAGATGTAAAACGGCA